AGTGGGAAGGGTTTGAAAATCGTATGAAAGCTAAACGCGAGATTAACTGTAAAAGAAAGCAACAAGCAACACCGAAAAAGGTAGACCATTTGACTGTGCAGAGATTGAGCTCGGACGTGTCCGGAAAAGCACAGAAATTTTCGAGGATTGGACCCCGAGAGTTTGTTTCTTATCCACATGGCGACATCACAATCGACAACATAAAGAAGGCATGTGAAACTCATTTCCTCTCTCAACTTAAAATTAATGTAGAGTGCGACGTTCTTGCGGGTGAGCAAGGTCCATCTTGTACAAGTCTTGACCAAATTCCAAATCTGAAATTGATCCATATTCGATTTGTTGGCACTGCAAAGCGAGATTCGTCTGCCTTTTCTTCCGAATTCCCTGCCGATTCTGAATTCAGTCGACCAAAAACTAAGAGAACACGTGGACAGCCAGAACTTGCAAGTTGTTCCTATCAATCGCCTCGAGCTAGGTCCTTAGAAGTGAGACCACAAGTTAGAAAGAATTTGAATGCTGGTTGTCCAAAGAGTCTGTCTGTCACACAGATGATAAATCTGGGCAAAGTCGTGCGACAAGAGACGACCATTGCAGACGTTTACAAGTTTAATTTAGAAAATATGGCATGGTCTTCAGTCGCAGAAAGAGTGGAGCTGATTATTGAAAAGAAGCCCTTTGCAGAGGGAGGGTTCCGTGAAGTGTATAAAGCAAAAAGTCCAACAGCATGTTACAGCGAACGTCTCTGGGTGGTTAAGAAGTACTTACCAAAAACACTGGAGTCAATCAATCAACTGGGGCAAACGATTGAAGATCACACCAAAAAGGCAGTCCAAATGCAGTCTTTGGCAAAGAACATAGCTCACTCCATGTATGCAAAGGTATGGAGTAGAGGATTGTGGGGTGTTATTTCTGCTGTTATTTCTGTGGGTGTTATTTCATTTTTACAGTACCTCAGCTTTTTATGTCCATTTGTTTGTTTGTAAGCACAATATCTCTAGAAATAAACAGTTTTTACCAACTGTTTGTGCAAAGAATACCGTATTCTCTCTACTAATCCCCGGGGGCTTTCTCTTAGACCCTTTTAAGGAGGGGCTTATTTGAGAGGGGGAGGCTTATTTATTTTTTGGTAAAATTATGATAATTTTCTTCCAGCACAAAGCAATGTTCAACTATATATTTTCAACTTTTCAACCATATATACATTTTAGGATGTTTGTGACATGTATTACCGGTACCATATTCTCTCTACTTAGCCCCCCTCTCAAATAAGCCCCCCTCTCCAATAAGCCCCCCTTTTGAGTGGAAAAATGAAATAAGCCCCCCCCCCCACTCTAATAAGCACCCCCTATATACTGATCTGTACCCCGATATATACTGATCTGTACCCCGATATATACTGATCTGTGTAATGATTTTGAGTTTATGACAGTTCAAAGAGATAATATCCATTGCTGATTTTATGGAAAATTAAATAAGCCCCCACTCTCAATTAAGCCCCCCTCTCCAAAAAGCCCCCCTCTAAAGGTCCTGAATTGAATAAGCTCCCCCCCACCGTGGGGTTAAATAGAGAGAATACGGTAAGCATCATCTTATTCTTCCAAAAATGAAAGCAAGTTTGTAGAAATCTGTTTCATGAGAAAGTACATGTTTTTTCTATTAAAGGGGTGGGCTTAATAGAGAGGGGGGGCTTAATAAATATCTTTGCCTAAAAATGGGGTATATTAAAGGGGAGATTATATAATGGGGGGGGGGGGGTTATATACTGGGTGGCAGGGCTATACAGGGCGAATATGGTACTGGTGCCATGGTCAATCAATTAAAGACCATTATTTTTCTATTCTAATATGAATTGGATAAAATCCTGGGTTGAATAAAGGCTAAGTTCTGTCTTTGCAAGGCCTTTTTGGGACTGGACAAGGTTATAATTATTATTATTAAGGTGAAGGAATTATGTCAACATCAGTTTGGGAAATGCTTTGTATATACAGATAGCTACATGGCCAAGCTAGAAGGTGGTGAGTATGTCACCATCGAAGAATTTATTGACGGTGACTTCACAAAGTATCTCAACAATACTGGGTTAGTCTGTGGAAACCGATCAACTGATGAATGCAAGAAAGCTGAATGTTTGGCCCACTATTCATATGAAAAATCTTCAGGGAAATTAATGCTTCTGGACATCCAAGGTAGTATGTACACTTTGTTTGATCCAGAGATTGCATCTGCCACCTTACTGATAGACGCAGAATACTTGTTTGGTGTTGGAAATCTAACATCTGAAGCCATTACTGCATTCATTGAAAACCATGAATGCAATAGATTCTGTGGTCTTCTTCAGTTGAAACCTTTTGCAGAGCTTTCTTCAAGGGATGATGAAAACTAACTGTGAAAAATTATGGAGACATATATGAGATAGTCACATATGTACAATGCAAAACAATGGTGTTTGTTTTATAATGATTTTGGTAGTTCATGTTATGTTAAGTGAGCAAAATATATGCTTACAAAAATGGTTACAAGGAAGCTCCATCACCAAGAGACATATAAAATTTATACACAATATGATAGAACAGTTAAAGTTTGGTAAACTAATAAACACACTGATCATTCACAACAGGTTATTCTGAACTATAGTCTAAATTTCATATTTAAAGCACAAAAACTCTGTGCAAAATGAAAGTGCTTCTTGAAATTATCAATGCTGTTAATGTTAATGTTATTTTTACTGAATGTATTACATGCAGTTACATTCCATTCTGCAATATGCCATTCACAAGATATGCTTCTTATGCATTTACCTGCATGTAGTGGGTGCCCTTGTAGAATAAGCAATATATTTTAGTACAGTTGATCAATCCATGGGCAGACTTACATGCGTGCAACAATCTATTAGATAGAATTCACTCCTTCTTTTAAATATAAAAATGCATCAACACAATCCTTTGGTTGAACATCAACTGGGTTGGGGATCTGGCTTTGATGTCGTCAGGTATATACTTTTCTTCATAGTCCAACAATTCAGACTGAATAGTAGCCTCCTTTAACTGCTCAACTGTGACAGGCCATGCTGGAACACAAAATACAATTATAAATTACTATCACCAGGAGAGTAATTGATTTAGCTTAGGTACAGTACCTGCTAAAAAACTTATAAAGGCTTTGGGAGAAGTCGAGACAAACTAATATTCAATTAAGGCAATGAGTCAACTTGTACGTAATTGATGTGTAAACACATAAATGCAATAGAACCTATTTTAAGAAATGCTTACAGCAATCCTTCAGTCCATATTCTTCAGGGAACTGATAAATATGGTTGGGAACACCATCTGGTAAATATGTGTCTTTTTGCTTTCTAATTCGATGACTGTTCCATATTGTCTCCTTGAAATCATCCAGTTCTTTTTGTAGGATAGGAATAAAAAGAAGAATTTGCATATCGATTTCAAAGCCTTATTTCGATAACCCATATAATTATGCATTACAAAGACGTTCTCTGGTGCCTCTTAACAGAATTAAACTACCTCCTATTCCCCTACTTCCCACGATTACTTTGTTAAATTCTCGATCGCTTTTGCCAAAGATCGACGAGCTTTCTATTCTACTGCCGCAGAAACGATCGGACATAGCCGTTATCACCGAGACATGGCTAAGACCTGACATAAGCAGCGAGCTTTTGTCTATCGATGGATATAATTTGCATCGAGCGGACAGACGTGTGGGTCGTGGTGGCGGGGTATGTGTTTTCACTTCTATTGATATCCCGTGTAAACGTCGTGTTGATTTAGAAAGTCTTGATTTCGAATGTCTATGGCTATGGCTTCGCCCCTATCGATTGCCTAGACCACTTTCTGGCATTGCTCTTTGTGCCGTCTACAACGCTCCTGGCAAACCTATCGAAGAGCAAAATAACTTGTGTGATCACATAGTCAAGACATCAGACTTTGTACGTAACCAATATCCTGACTGCGCGCTTATTATTCTCGGTGACTTTAACCAATTAGATGTCTCGCAGATCACCTCGAACCTCGACTTGATTCAGGTTGTAGATAACCCAACCCGGGGAGTTAATACATTAGATCTAATCATTTGTAACACCTGCAATTTCTACGAGAATCCTGCCATACTTGCCCCCCTAGGCACATCGGATCACAACATCGTACATTGGACCCCTAAAGCTAGATATCTGAATAACGACACTGGGTCTTTACCCAAACGCTATTCCCGTCGTTTTCTACGGTCAAGGCTTGACGCTTTTGGACGGTGGATCTGTGGCGTTAATTGGTTTGCTGATGTTGTCCAGCTTTCAGCCGATAATCTAACCGATTCTCTGACATCTACCCTTACTACCGCTATTGACATTTTCTTTCCCCTAAAGTCCACCAAGTTACACACAACCGATAAACCATGGATCTCACACGCCATCAAGTCTTTAATCCAGAAACGACAGAACGCATTCAATAATAATGACCCAGTCCTATGGAGGCACTATAAAAATAAAGTTAAGAAAGAAATTTCCAAACGCAAGAAAGCTTTTTACGAAGATAAGGTTAAGCACCTTAAGAATGAAGATTGTAGGAAATGGTGGAGATTTGTGAATAGCTTATCAGGAAGACGAAATAAGTCGCAACCTTTCACAATCGAGAAGGACGGGTTAGCTTTAACCGACTTCGAGCTTGCTGAACATTTAAACACGTTTTTTCTATCTGTTAACGAAGACATCTCCCCTTTGGACATAAACAGTATACCTGCTTTCCTCCCAGCGGAAGAACCCCTTCCAAAGATTTCTGAGATTGAAGTCTACAGCAAATTGGCCAAGATTAACCCCTACAAAGCAAGTGGCCCTGATCACATCCCCGCACGTATTCTAAAGGAATTTTCTTTCGAGCTCTCGAAACCAGTTGCACGGGTTTTTAACGTTTCTCTTTCCGAAGGAGTCACCCCAACTGCTTGGAAAAAGTCTGAGATAATACCTATAACAAAAGTTCAGCCTGTTTCTGATGAAGGTGACCTTAGACCTATATCCTTGACTCCCTGTCTCTCCAAAGTATTGGAAGACTTTGTGGTAAATTGGATCATTTCGGACTTAGGTCATAAAATCGACCCCCAGCAATTTGGCTGTTTAAAAGGCACTTCCATTACTTATTGCCTTCTCGATATCCTTCATAACTGGCTAAATCACCTCGATAACCCTGGAAAATACATCCGCGTTTGCTTCCTTGACTTTTGTAAAGCATTCGATCGGATCGACCACAACATCGTCATTTCGAAACTTATCAACCTCGGCGTACGAAGAGCCTTGATCCCGTGGATCTGTAGCTTTTTGTCTGGTCGGATGCAGTCTGTAAAAGTTAATCAATTTACCTCTAACTGGGCTCCTGTTACTGCCGGTGTCCCGCAGGGTACCAAGCTTGGCCCTATCCTATTCCTCGTAATGATCAACGACCTTGCCAGCCATTCTCCGTTGAGGTCTAGTAATTGGATGTTTGTTGATGACGTTACCATCTCCCAAGCCATCCATCGTAACTCCCCCCCTGGAATACAACAAGATCTCCACTCTATTAATGCCTGGTCGATGAGTAATAACATGAAATTACACCCTAAAAAGTGCAAGGACTTTACCATCTCTTTTCTTCGCAACCCCCCGCAAGAACTGTCTTCTACATTGTCGATCAACTCCCAACCTTTAGAGAAGGTCACCTGTTTTAAACTGCTAGGAGTCACCTTACAAAACGATCTAAAATGGAACGCCCATGTTGACTCTATCACGTCCAAAGCTTCAAAGAGACTTCATATTTTGCGAGTTTTGCGTAACTCCGGTGTGTCTGCCAACGACCTCCTGACTATCTACATTTCGATTATCAGATCTGTGCTAGAATACTGCTGTGCAGCCTGGAATACATCTATCCCCTCCTACCTTTCCGACAAAATCGAGAGGGTTCAACGTCGTGCTCTACGGATTTTATATCCAAACATGTCCTATTCAACCGCGCTTGCTACCTCCTCTCTTCCCCGTCTATCCGATCGTCGTGATACTCTTTGTAAGAAGGTTTTGGATAAAATAACAATACCATCATCACGCCTTAACCGCATTTTACCTCCGACCCGGATTGAGTCGCATGGCAGAGAACTGCGCCACTCTAGTAATCTTAGCCTATTTAAGTGTAGGACGGACAGATTTAAGAACAGTTTCTTCCCAGCTATGTGCTCACGTACTATGAACAAGTCATGACCGTTGTCAATTAGGTTTACAATCTAAATTTCCATTTTTATATAACTCCAATTCCTAGTTTTAAAAAGTAACAGTAGTCTTCATAATTTTATGCTTGTAAAAATACTATAATTCACTATTACTTGTATTAGTGCGATTGTATTTTAAATATACCGTCTATTATTATTATTATTATTATTACATATGCCCCCCCCTTATTTTTTCCTCCCCTCCTCCCTTCCATAATTAATGACCGGTCCCTTATTGTTAAAATCGAGGATGTCGTTAAAATTAAACCTGTAAGATCTTCGGGAACATTTTATATTATGTCGTGTTTTACCAAATAATGTCCTTGCCCTTGCACGGTTCCCATTTGTAAAAAACTGCTGTAAATCATATCCCCCTTTAATTAATTTGATCTCATCCGTGAGTCGGCCTCGAAGGCCTTTGATCTTGTTTGGGAGAACTTTTGAAAATGTATATTAACTTCTGTTACCTATTTTTCATATCTTGCTTATTTTTTAAAATATTTTCATTTGAAGTAATGAGACGTCCACCATCTTTGATAAATTTCTAATCTCAACGGTAGTTTTGGTATATGTCACAACAGGAATTAACCATATAAAAGTGTTTGTTGCTGACGAAATATTGATTGGTATAGATGCATGTCAAAGTTATCTTGACATTTTGAAAGGCATACAGAGCTCTAGAGTATAGTTTTGAGATAGTGCAAAATGATTACTGGTTGTCTACTGTAGATAGAAATGCTGTGATGCAACATGCATGTCTACAAGGGGGGGTGGGGGGTGGGGGTGGGGGGGGGACATTCAGATTTACAGTATGGTATACCTTACAAACTTGCAGTACATGCCAGTATTTGCAATTTTGGGCCCAAAAACTGTGGTTATTGACAATGCCCCCCTCTACAAAAATTGAAGATGGCAGACATTTCATTCCTTTCGATCAAAATATTTGTAGAAGTACGCAAGATATGAAACAACAGTAAAAGAATTTTATATATAGTCTTGAAAGTTCTTTCAAATACATTATATATAAATAAATATAATCTTCAAAGTTCTTTCAAATGAAAAAATAAAAAAATATATTGCCAGTTCCCTTTAAGTTTTAAGTGACATATTGCATGTATTGGTCTCAACAAATAAAAATTTTAATTTTGTTTTTACAGGCATGAAAAGAAAGAGCATCCAGAATTTATATACACTGTAATACCAGATACTGATGAAAATAATGAAAAGAGGGAAGATGCTGTATGGAATTATCACATGTCCCGTCTTCAAATTGGGTTATATTTTTTAAATTTGGAAGATGCCATCAAACATGGTGATGGTTATAGGCTTCTTCGTTGCTTTAAGTTCGCATTGTTATTTGAATACAAACATCGCCATACAAAATATGCATACCTATTGCTCCATTTCTTTGTCAAATTCTATGCAGTTTTATCCCAAGATGAGGCACTTCGTTTACTCAATAATCGATTCATCAATTATGTTGGAGGAATTGGCAACAATGTTCCCCTTGATCTGCATATGGAGCACCTCAATCTAATGCTAAAGCAATTGACAAGAAACAGTGGAGGACACTTGACAGAACGAACAATTCAAAGAAATGCCCGGTCATTGTATACCATTAGCACAATTATGAAAACAGTACATGAAGATTGCAGACAAAAACAGCCAAGTGGTCACCATGGTGGAGAAGATCCAAAATCCTCTGTTGAAATAATTGTTAAGGATCTCATCGCAGGGAAAGTATTTCAGCATAAACCTGGAAGGAAAGGATACAATTCTTTTCAAAACTTTAAGAAAGATGTTATTGGCAGTGACTATCGTGACTTTTTTTGCTTGGGCAAGAAATACAATAAAACATTGGGAAGGAATTTATGAGTCACCACAACATAAAAGGCACTAAGTGTCATACATCGTAATACCTTCATTAACAGGGTCATTCCAAAATTGATCCAATTTACATTCACAGTCTGGAAATAGGAAGTTACAACCCCATTTGACAGCCTCTTCAGTTGGCATCTCTAATGGCATTTATCAATGTTACAGCCTGAGTGTACAATATTTAAACCAAGCCCAATTATAAACCATTGATAAGAGATGCCTGCATAAGAGCCTACCAATTTAACTTTTTGAGAAATAATTCCCTCCTGATCTAGACAACTGAACAAGAATGTCTGGCTTAGCTGTTCTTGTAGTATGGAGTAATATGGTAATATACAGTAGGAAAAATAAGTCACCCTCATTGGTTTAATGTAGTAAAAAAGTAAAACAGTTGAGTATTCCCACTTTCAATACAAAATATAAATTTATTTGAACATATTAATAGATTTTTTACCTCCCTATCTACATCAAATCAAAGGGGGGGGAGTGTTTTTTCCCACCCTACATATACAAAAACACATACATTATAACCATTCTTCTGATAAATGGAATGTTTCATCCAGGGAAGTTCCACTTAATTCATCGTCAACCAATGGCCCATTCTGCTTTAGATTTCCAATTAATTGATTCATTAAGGACTCTGTCTCCAGTGATGTACTGTATATTTCATCAGGAATTTCAATGTCACTAAACATTTCTCCCATAACCTCAAGAATCATTATCAGAAGCTTTATCAATGAAAATGGACAGTATTTCCATAAGTCAGTAATCCCAGATATGTTGTTTGCATTATCTACTATTGTTTGGATTGTGTAAGTATCTAGACCAAACAAATGTGAACCATCACAGTTCAGTACAGCCACAGGTGATTGTGATCTTAAACTGCCTTGTAATTCTTCCAGTGCATTTTTTAAACATTTTTTGTCATCCTCTGACAAAGTACGAATAGGTGTTACCTGAATGTCCTCTTCAATTGATGCGTTGTCAAACTTAAACAATGGCACATTGCACATGTCTCCATGACATTTGCAAATCATATGACAAGTATTGCAGCATGCATGCAAAGGCACATTAGGTTGAATATCTTTATCAAAATGAGATAATAGGGCTTGCCGCACACATGACTTCTCACCAGATTTGATAGCATGTTTTACTTGCTTCTCACAGTTTCGTATGTGCTTTCGAAGATACATTATAATATTAAAAGCTTCTGAACCATCACGGCCAGCCCTTCCAGCTTCTTGTAACTGACTACTTAATGACTTAGATGGTCCAAAGTGAATAACATATTTCACATTAGGAAAGTCAACACCCATACTTAGTGAGGATGAAGCAATTGCAACTCGTGTACATCCATCTCCTTCAAATGATGTAGTAACAGTGTCTTTGAGACTCTGTGGAGTTTGAGAGTAATACACACCTACCAAAGAAGACTGTTGTTCAGGTGTGTTCCCTCTGACATAAAAATTTGAACTGCCAAGTTGCATTAGAAGGTAACTCATAATGAAAACAATGTCATTGACAACCTGGCAAAAAATTAGCGTAAATGGTGTGTGTTCTTTCTTGTCTCTAATCATTTCTACCAACCAATTTAAACAGTTTAAATGTTTGTCAGCCTTAATAATAGTAAAACGAATGTTGTTCTTGTTGGGACTAACAATTATTCTAAAGTGCTCTCCTGGAAAGCCAATAAATTTTGCCAGCCTTTTCCTCATGTCTTCACCAGCAGTTGCTGTGAGAGCAAGAGCTGGTGTCCCCCCAGGCAAAAAGGACCTAAGCTCAGACACTCTGCTAAATGCCTCTCTGAATGCTGCTTGACCTTTTCGACTTGTTCCCCTAGTAAAAGACAAGAAGGTGGTAAGTTATACATAGCATAAGCAGAATGTAGTGATATATATCATGCTATTAAAAAGAGATATGGCAAAAGGGAGAAAATTCCACATGAGTGCATATTGCAGTATACTAGGACCTAGTGTGCTCTATTTATAGAGCCTCTATTTATAAGGCCTAGTAGGCCAATTATTTCCAATTCATCCTGCAATAACAAATTTGTTCTTCGAAAATTTCGAAAGAAATTTTCGACCTACCATGTCTCGACAGTATGGACTTCGTCTATTACCAACACTTGAACGTTTCCTAATGTTTCCCAAAGTTTCCTAACCTTGCTTCAATTTATTAGCCCACATATCCGATAGCCATTGTTCAGCACTTCCGTATAACACTTGGGCAAATCCTTCTGAACATAAACCATGTGTTTCACTTAACGAATTGCCAAGAAACGCTGCACGAACTCCTATTCGTTTCAAACGTTCCACTTGTTGTACGCGGATGTATTCCAGTGGACTAACAACAATCACAACATTATTATCATCACATTGATCCGATTCCAAGCGATTCATTTCGGAGAAAACAAATGGTAATACCTCGTATATAAGGCTCTTACCATAACCAGTTGGCAAAACACTGAAACAGCAAACACATCCTCGCGATCTACGACAAGTTTTCTGACACACGCTTTTTGCTCTTGTTTTAAAGAACAATATTTGAACTTAGTTAAAGACAAGGCCAATGCTTTATCAAACAATACGTCCTTCTGCATTTCCAAACCCAATAAATTACTTAAAATAAAAAGCCAGCAACACTCACACTGTTTACAAACTACAAGTATAAATTCCAAACATGTTCTCGTATTACTGATTTAGTATTAAAATATATCATAATTATCATTGTTACCTTGGCCGATCTTATTCTTTCATGTAAGCGACCGACCAATCAAACACCTTATCGGCGAGTATTATCCAATCAGCTATTCCGACCGCCTGGCGGTCGGATTCCACAGCGTTTTGACACGATTTTCATCAGACCTACGTTTCGCCCTTTCCATCGACCCGCGAATTTTAGGGCGGGCGAAACGTAGGTCTGTTTTCAGGCTAAATTTGAGAGCACTATATATCGCA